CATTTTTTTGAAACGATTTTCTCCCGTCTGCCATTAAGGGTGGTTATTCTTTATGCAATAAGAAGTGGAATGGCTGAAATTTTAAAGAGCCCCGCGTGTGACAATACAATGATATGCTAATTTGAAAATGTAATGAAAAGTGGAGATTTGGATCAATATTATCCCGTCTGCCACACATTGTGACGGTAATTTTAACAAAAATGAGTACAAAGAAGCTAAACGGCGCTAACCCTAGGTTAGGTATAATGTGTCATATTACTAATTTTAAAATGTCGCCAAAATCGGACATGTGGATCAACGACCTCCCGTCTGCCAAATTAAATTTATGTTACATTTACGATGTAATACATCAATAAGTAAATGGCAGAAAATCTCGGTTGGTATAATAATATTTAACAATAATTTCTGAAGTTGTATCAAAATGCTGAGATGTTGAAACAACTTTCTCCCGCCTAAAACATGTTTTGCTGCAATGGATTTTAGATAAATAATGTACCTTTGCACCGGCAGAAAAATTGAAGTGGTACAAATATTTATTTTTATATTACGCATGCATCATAATCAGTGGCGGCTCGTGACTATTTCAAGTGAGGAGGCTAAAAGATTTTAAAGATTTTCAGTGATTTTAAGTAGATCTTACGAGTTTTTCTGGGATTTTGACCAACTTGTATACAAATTTTCACAGTGGCGGCTCATCAAAGGAGGCAGGGAAGGCTAAGCCTCCCCCAAAAAAATGAAAATTCAATCTCAGTTTTTTATTCCTCATTCCTAATTAAAATAATAATTCACAAATTACACTTTCCAAATTTCGCGAACCCGAAGGGCCGGAGTTATACGCGAGCCCGAAGGGCTAAAGTTATTTTAATTACGGGGCCCAGTCTATAATTCTATTGGTCAGTGGATAATTTGGGTGGATAATTTGGAGGCAATCAAAAATCGGGAATATCCAAAATGTGATTTTTAGTTGATATTCTGAGTTTCAGTTCTCTCCAGGGCCGGTTCTAGCTCTTTGGCCGCCCCCGTGCAAAACCTTGTTTTGCCGCCCTCCATGAGAAACTTTTTGCTTCGTGGGAAGGGAATTTTTCATAATATTCTATTTCTAGATTTGAAAAAAAAACACATGGCAACACTGCTCATGATACAACAAACGTTAAAAAATTGAAATTTCAAAGTAGTTTTTTTTTTTTTAATTTTGACAACTGTCAATGTCAAAAAAATTTTAACTTTTCTTTATTTCAAAAAACAAATGTCAGAAAACGATCCCTAGGCTCCGAAAACCCTAAAATAAGAAATTTCATCGATATATGTCAAAAACCAACCGCCTGGCAACGTCGAACGTCTTTTTTGACATATATTTAAAAAAAAAAATCGTACTTCCTACGTATTCGCCGAGACTAAATCTATATGCTCATGTATAGTCTGGCTAGCGAAACGGCGAACTCCAATAGAATTTGCTGCTGTGTCTAACTTGACGGAAAAAATAAAAAACAAGTTAGTGACATTTTTTTTTTCGCTATATGGGCATAGGTAGTATTTTGAAATAGAAAAAAATCCGGCAACATTGCGAAATGATGGATGTAGAGAGGCGTGATTATTCAGAGGCATGATTCTATTGGTTAGAGTCTGAACGACAGCACGCAGTGGCGTGGATATTGGCGAAACTAGAGAATTTTTTTCTAATAATTTAATTGGTTTATTTCCTTGGTGTTTTCGGTGCCACTGAACCCAAAGACATGGCTGTCATCAGGCCGTGTCAGTTTAGGTGTCATTGAATATTTTTAGGCTACGCCCCTTTTTTCTTCCCCCTTTCGTCTCTACCAAGTTACCACTTGCCAGACTATAGGTATTTTAAAATTTTAACAGCTGTCAATCTCAAAAAAAAATTCTTTTGTTTTTTTCGAAAAACAAAGGTTGTTTTTTAGTGGATTTTAGGGTGAGATTTATGTAACAACATGTAGCAACAAGTATAAAAAATTCAATATCCCGTCTGGTTTGGAATTCGAATTTTTGAATTTTCCCGGCTCCTGATTGGTTTGGGGATTCGAATTTTGATTATTCCCGGCTCTTGATTAGCTTAAAACTTTGAATTTTCCCGGCTTTTGATTGGCTTTAAAATAACCTATAATATCGGCCCTTCGAGCTCAAGATTTGACAAAAAAACATATGGCAACACTGCTCATGATACAACAAACGTCAAAAAATTGAAATTTCAAACTTTGGGTTTTTTTGACAATCGATACAAATTGACGTCTTTTTGTTTCAAAGATTACGGCCCGAAGGGCCGGAGTATTAAAATCAGTTGACAATGAATGGATTCGTTCGGATAAAATTTTTGTCGCATGACACTTTGGCAATATTGTCACCTGTCAAATTTGACACATGTTTGACTTTTTCCCCGCTCTGCTATAAAAGCCACGAAAATTAAACCCCGGTACAAGGCATCAGTTTCACGACACCAACTATCGATTTGTGTCAAAAAAATTGACAGCTGTCAACGTTACAAAAGTTTTTTTTTTAAATTTTGTAAATTTCGAGAAAAAAAGTAATAGAAAATGATCCCTGGATCCCAAAAACCTTAAATAAAAATTCCAAAAAAAACCGACGAAAATGACATTCCAAAACCTACTTGATAAAACTAAAGTTTTTCTCACTAACCCCGTTAAAATACTGGAAATTTTTGGTGGAAAATGAAAAAAACTCAAAGCCTCGTACTTTAAATCAGTTCCCGACTGAAAATGCCCCGGAAAAGTAAAATGTTTAAAAAAATGTAAGCACGTCAATTGAAAATGGCCGACTGTCAAAAATGCTTCCTTGATTGAAATAAGCCACAAGCGATGTTGCCACATCAAAAGCATTTTAAATGGGATTTTGCTAATTATGGCATTTAAAACTAGAAATTTTTACTAAAAAATGAAGAAAACTCAAAACCTCGTATGTTAAATCGCTTTTTTCCAATAAAAAACTCCGGAAAAGTCAAAAATTCGAGAAAAAAATTGGCAAAAAATCACAAGACGTCACTTTAAAATGGCCAACTAAAAGCAACGTTGCCACATCTCATTTCGAAAAACAAAAATAACATTTTAAAAGGGTTTTTTGTTAAAAATTCAATTTAATAATTAATTAATAATGATTATAATAATTGAAATTCCCCAAATAAATCATGGGAAACTTGTTTTTAGTTTAATTTCAATGAAAATGACATTACAAGGTTTCCTTATTGATTATAATGAGTAAGACAAAGACAACGATAAAGTAGTATATGTTTGCAAAAATCACCGTTTTCTGAAAAAAGTAAAAATCTTGAGAAAACCAAAATTCCAAAGTCAATTTGATAAAAGTAAAGTTTTCGAATATTCCCGGCTCTTTGATCGGACGCTAAAAATCGCATTTTGAATATTCTCGGTTTTTGATTGGCTCCAAATTATTCGTTGACCAATAAAATTATAAACTGAGTCCCGTGATTAAAATAACTCTAGCCGTTCGAACTCGCGTATAACTCCGGCCCTTCGAACTCGCGTATAACTCCGGCCCTTCGGGCTCGTGTGTAACTCCGGCCCTTCGGGCCGGGTTCGCGTATAACTCCGGCCCTTCGGGCCGGGTTCGCGTATAACTCCGGCCCTTCGGGCCGGGTTCGCGTATAACTCCGGCCCTTCGGGCCGGGTTCGCGTATAACTCCGGCCCTTTGGGCCGGGTTCGCGTATAACTCCGGCCCTTCGGGCCGGGTTCGCGTATAACTCCGGCCCTTCGGGCCGGGTTCGCGTATAACTCCGGCCCTTCGGGCCGGGTTCGCGTATAACTCCGGCCCTTCGGGCCGGGTTCGCGTATAACTCCGGCCCTTCGGGCCGGGTTCGCGTATAACTCCGGCCCTTCGGGCCGAGTTCGCGTATAACTCCGGCCCTCAGGGCCGGGTTCGCGTATAACTCTAGCCCTTCTGGCTCGTATTACTCCGGCCCTTTGGGCCGGTATTACTGAGTATCCCAGATTCACAGATTTTTGTCGTGGAGGCGCGGGATTGATTGAAACAATGTTGTCAGATTTTTCTAAATTACATTGAAATATCGAAAATTGGAATTCTGTGAATTATTATTTTAATTAGAAATCGGGAATACAAAATTAAGATTGAATTTTCAATTTTTTGGGGGAGGTTTAGCCTCCTCTGCCTCCTCTGACGAGCCGCCACTGGAGTCCTAACAAGGACGAAACGCGTCAAGGATTGGTACGGGAATGCGGGGTCCACTATTCAGTGGGTCGATTCCCAAACAGGGACTCTTGTCCCTGATTTGCACGTTGGTCGTTACCTGAAAAAACTTTCAAGCAATTTTCATTGCCAACGAAAGCTCAGACCAATCAGTGTAGTTCAATGCCGGCAGGGGTATTTGCCCTCGGAGTAGTTGTTTCTGATTGGTAAACGAAGTTCATACCTCAAGTCTGTTCCGTAAGTTCCGTTGCACAACTGTTCGTAGAATATTGACCTCAAATTTTCGCACAAGTTTAGCCAATCAAGCCGTACGATTGTTGCGGCCATTACTCAGGCCGGAATTTTGCGGTCGCCACACTTGCCGTGCAAAATGTGTCAAGTCCTTGTCAAATCCATACAGTTTTTCTGTAATTTTTATAGTTGCACAAAAAATAGGGTGTATACCTATGACCGCGAAACTTTTTAGCGTCCTCAAGATTATCTTAAAAAGGCATTTCGCGGCCTTGGTATACAAATAACTATTAAATGAATTTCCAGTCGCAATGTGCATGATGTTTCCTGTTTATGTGTAGAAAATCAAATCGCATTTTCTTCGAGTAATTGGAAATAGAAAACGTGACCGTAAAATCCCAAGATACAGAGTGGTAAAATTTATATATGAAAAAAAAATCATTTTCTTTCTAACATTACGAAGAACAAGCAATTCATTTTTTGCACGTGATTGAGAAGCACTCTGTATATAAATAAACATATAAGTTTGTTGCTTTTGGTATGAAACACATATATTGGAGTTTTTTTTTAGTTGCAGATGCTAGAAAGGCCTGGAAAGTTTTGAGACAACAATTTAAACTACAGTTTGAGAAGCTTCCACCGCGAAGGTCAGGAGATCCGGCACCAGAGGATTACGTTAAATGGCCATATTTCAAAAGTTTGTTGTTTCTGAGAGATAATTTTGAGATACGTCATGCAACTGATAGTTCGGATGACGATAGTCGAGAGTTTGAGGGTGGAGATGATACACAACATGACACAGAGGATGTATCATCTTCTTCTACACAAACTACTACATTTGATGATACTTCACAAACATTTGCAAATGTTTTGACTGTTGAATTTGTAACTCTCAGAAGTACAACCAATGAGAAAACAGATAATTTGGACTATCAAGAAAGAAGTGCGCCTACCGACCAAATAGGGCAAGGTTTGCTAGAGATAGAAAAGGAAAAATTAAAAATGTCAACTTTGAATAACAATGATGAAGATGCGGTTTTTTTTGCATCTCTATTACCACATGTAAGAAAGTTATCTCCTGTTGACAAGTTCACTTTTAGAGTTAAGGTTCAAAACATGATCAAGGAGATGGTTTTTGGAGTCAAGAACGGCACAGCAAGCAGTTACGACGTGGAACATCCAAATCCTTCAGCGTCAAATTTTAATCCAACAGTTCCTGCGAGACAAAACGTAACTTATGTTGAAGACAGATCCTCTATACTGCTGCAAGCTATTCGATTAGCTGAAATCGACAATGACGATTCCTTTATGTGAACACTATACAACCTTATTTTTACAGATTTTTACTTACCTTCAACATTATGTACCTAATACGTTTATATCAATAAATAGTTGTTAAAAATAATACATTACCTCAGTGTTATCACCAATCTTTTTTCATTGCTAACTGGCTGTTTATGTTTATGTAGATTGGTATATACCTACTTTTTAAATTCTCGAGTCTATAATTGTAGATTGCATTTGAAGTGGTTGCAGCTTGTTCCAGTGAATAGAGATTCTGTGGTAAAGTGGTCACCTCTTGTGGTGTTAGTACTATTATTTCCTCTGGTTCCTGAATTTTGCCCAGTTAACGGAAACCCCATTTCCGCGAGTTGAGCAAAGAGAAAGAATATTATTATTCGTTGGAATGCCTGACTATTTAGCTCAGTAAAATACCTCAGGGGTGGGTGGTTTTGGTGAATTATGCCTACCTACTCCAATTATTATTTTATGTCGAGTTAAGGGCGCCACCGAATTTTATTTAGTCTATTAAGTATGCTGAAGGGGGTTTTCCAAAATCATAATCTGAAATCTTGACCCAAAAAATACGGAAAAAACTAACTAGCAAATCAATTTATTTAATAAAATAGGCTATAATTTACTCAAATTCATTCCAATGGTTAAGTTCAACCATTTTGCTTAATTGTATTTAAACTAAACCTAATATCTACAGATTCCGTTTTAAAAGCGAGGTATGATCATACTTGTCGTACATTTTATGTAATAACCTATTTAAGTATTCCTAGATAAGATTGTGTATTTATCCAAAATAACCCGTAATATAAAATACTGGGTAATTTAAACACTAACAAATGTGTATTAATAACGAACTTATTTGAGGATAATTCGTTAATCTAAATCAATATTAATAATAAGGATGCAGCTACAGCCCACGTGACCAATGTTCAGCTCACCAAGCTCCACGTCGGAAAGTTCTTGACAAGTTCCAAGATAGTGTCGATTAAGGAAAATCCAAAATCAAACACGATGGGAAGGCAGGACGGAAAACCAGAAAAAAACAATAAACGAACGACCCTATAATCAAAATGCCTAATCTATAGATTCAGAACCTACAAAAGATCGTCTTAACTTACCCCAGAACAACGAGGGTCGACAAAATGGAGGATACCGGTAGTACCTTAGTTTTCGGGTTCGATCTTCTTTGAACCAAAAATAGCAGCGACAAATCCCTCACGGCGAAATTTCGACTTCCAATCAATTATTCAATCGTCGAATTTCAATCTTTATGTGCAAATTACATCCGTAAAATTACGTAAATTCAAATTATTTCAATAAATTAACTTGCACATGTACTGGCTATTTTAAAAGCGATTCCCCACCGGGTACTTTCCAAAATTCAAAAATGGCCAAATCAGTAATGCCAATCAACCTTAAACTAGTAAAAATTAAACTAACGAAAAACTATTTATAAAAAAGTAATAAAACCTAGGGATATTGCAACAACAGTTGGCCCCTAGAATTGGACCTGCAAAAATTTAATGAAGAATCAAGAAACGAAATAACGTCTCTATCCCATTCTATTTCATCCTTGTTCATTCCTTTATCAGCGTATAAGTCTCTCTCAACAAAAACCGCATATTTCACACGCAAGGCAAACGTGAATCCTAACGCAGTCCGCAAAGCAAATATTTAAATTATACGAAAAGTGACAGGCGGAATATTTTGTGTGAATGTAAACAAAACGGCAACAATTCTTCAAAGCCATTTTCCTGCGTTTCCTCAAACAGGAAAACCAAAGCAACTGACGTCCCACAATACAGGTAGGTAATACTATAGTCTTAATATTTTCCTAATACAATAATCTGCAATTTTAGCTGCCACAAGAGTACGTTTTCCAATACTTGAGTACATACATGAACGTTGAGGAAATCCAACCTTTCCGACGAGAATGTACTGACAATGCAACCAGCTCCAAGGCCTAATCCAAGATTCGTCATGAGATTATTCTTGGCATTGATTTCTGGCGTACCATGGGTATCGTTCCCGACATGCGTCGTGGAGAATGGTTTTTCTCAGCTGAAATTCCAAGCGTTCCCCAGGTTAATCACATTCATAGTGAGGAAGATTTAACTTACGACTAGAAAGTGCGATTGAATGAAGTTATTTCTGAGTACTTTGATAAAATTGGTGATAGATTAGGATGTACTACTGCGGTGAAGCACAAAATAGTTACATCGAGTCCACCCATCAAGCAAAGATATTACCCGGTGTCCCCGTTTAAACAAAAACTGATTGATGAACAGTTGGATGAGATGTTGAGAGATGGGATTGTCGAGCCATCTAGGTCAGCTTGGTCCTCTCCAGTACTTTTAGTACCTAAACCGAATGGAGAACAACGCTTTTGCGTTGATTTTAGGAAGCTCAATGTTGTGTCAGAACGTGATGCTTTCCCGCTTCCCTATATTTCTACAATCTTAGACAAATTAGGTGGTGCTAAGTATATGTCCTCACTTGATTTCAAAAGTGCTTATTGGCAAGTGGCACTAGAGGAGGGAAGTAAGCAATATACTGCTTTTACCGTCCCTGGGCGTGGCCTATTTCAATTCACTCGTCTTCCTTTTGGTCTCCATAATGCGCCAGCAACTTTTCAACGTCTGATTGATACTATTCTAGGTCCCGAATTGGATAAATATGTATTTTGTTACTTGGATGATATTATCATAGTAACTCCTGATTTTGACTCACATATTACAATTTTGAAGGAAGTTTTTGACCGGTTGTATGCAAATGGTTTGACATTAAATAGGGAAAAGAGTAAATTTTGCCGTGAAGAATTGAAGTATTTGGGATATTTGGTTAACAGACAGGGTATTTCAGTGGACCCAGCAAAGGTAGAAGCAATTACGAACCTAACAGTGCCTAAAAATGTTCGTGATATTAGGAGACTTATGGGTATGATCTCGTACTACAGGAAATTTATTCCATCATTTGCCTCTCACACGCCTTCTACGTAAAGGAATTAAATTTGTTTGGGATGAGGATTGTGGGAACACTTTCGAAAATATTAAAAATTATCTTGGATTGTCCCAATTTTGATTATAGTTTCACTCTCCAGACTGATGCCAGCTCTTTTGGTGTTGGAGCAGTACTTACCCAATTTTATGACAACAGAGAACACGTGATTTGCTACGTTTCTAGAACCCTAAGTCGGACCGAGCGCGTATATAGCGCTACAGAGCGAGAACTTCTCTTACTTATTTGGAGTGCCGAAAAATTACGTTGCTACCTTGAAGGTTCTAAATTCCAGGTTATCACGGATCATTTTTCTCTTAAGTGGCTTCAAAATCTGAAAAACCCTCAAGGTCGTTTAGGTCGTTGGTGCTTGAGACTACAGCAATTTGATTTTGACGTGATACATCGGAAAGGTAAAGAACATGTGGTGCCAGACGCATTATCTCGTGCTGTTGTTGATGATCCGGATTTGATTGGTGGAGATTTGGAAATAGTTATCAATGATGTTAAGGATAAATGGTATTTAGGTATGTTGCACAGAGTAAAGAAAAATCCTCTCTTATATCCTTGTTGGCGAATTTCCACTGATAATAAGTTGTATAGGAAAGTTAGTTTGGATTTTGGCGAGCTTCGCGAAAACGACGATTTTTGGAAATTAGTGGTGCCTAAAGAGAATCGCAGGGAGATTATTTCCTCGTATCATGACACTACCATTGGTGGACATTTGGGAGTTCACATTTGTTGCCATTTGTCAGCAGGTCAAGCCTGAACAGAAACCTCCTGGTGGTCTTATGGGTGATGCTGTTGTTCCAAGTCGGTGTTGGCAAATTATAAGCATGGACCTGTTTGGTCCTCTTCCAAAAAGTAAATCTGGTAATATGCACATATTTGTGGTTACAGATACGTTCAGCAAATATAATTTGTTCTTTCCGATCCGTAAAGCCAATACGAAAACTATAATTCAGCTTTTAGAAGAAAGAGTTTTCTATTCCTATGGTGTACCGGAACTTATTAGGTGTGATAATGGATGTCAATTCAAATCTAATGATTTTGGCAATCTAAAGTCAAAGTATGGTCTGAGAATTTTGTTCAATCCGAACTACCATCCGTCGCCAAATTTGACTGAGAGAGTAAATCGGGTGATGAAAACTATGCTTTCATCTTTCGTGTCAGATAATCAGCGCGATTGGGATATAAAACTTTCGGCGTTGGCTTGTGCAATCAATACTGCGAAACATGTAGTAACTGGTCAAACTCCACACTTCTTAAATTTTGGCACTGAAATGAAGCTCCATGGCTCGGAACATTTAAGAAAACGTATTGATTCGGATAATATTGTTGTTGATTCCGACAAAAGAGTTAGGTTGTTGAATAAATTACGAGAGTCAGTTGTTAAGAATATGGAAAAGGCCCACACACAATCTAAAAAGCAATATGATCAGTGGCGGCTCGTCAGAGGAAGCAGGGGAGGCTAAGCATCCCCCAAAAAATTGAAAAGCTAGTCCGGCCCGAAGGGCCGGAGTTATAAGGGAGTCCGGCCCGAAGGGCCGGAGTTATAAGGGAGTCCGGCCCGAAGGGCCGGAGTTATAAGGGAGTCCGGCCCGACGGGCCGGAGTTATAAGGGAGTCCGGCCCGAAGGGCCGGAGTTATAAGGGAGTCCGGCCCGAAGGGCCGGAGTTATAAGGGAGTCCGGCCCAAAGGGCCGGAGTTATAAGGAAGTCCGGCCCAAAGGGCCGGAGTTATAAGGAAGTCCGGCCCGAGTTATAGGGGAGTCCGGCCCGAGTTATAGGGGAGTCCGGCCCGAAGGGCCGGAGTTATAAGCGAGTTCGGCTAAGCCTCCCTCAAAAAATTAAAAATTCAATCTCAATTTTTTATTCCTGATTCCTAATTGAAATAATAATTTACAAATTTCGATATTTCAATGTAATTTAGAAAAATCTGACAACATTATTTTAATCAATCCCGCGCTTCCACGACAAAAATCTGTGCATCTGGGATATTCAGTGATACGAGCCCGAAGGGCCGGAATTTTATGCGAGCTTAAAGGGTTGGAGTAATACGAGCCCGAAGGGCCCGACTGGAGTTATACGCGAGCCCGAAGGGCCGGAGTTATTTTAATCACGAGGCTCAGTCTATAATTCTATTGGTCAGCAGATAATTTGAAGCCAATTAAAAACCGGGAGTATTTAAAATGCGTTTTTTTGTGTCCAATCAAAGAGCCGAAAATATTCGAAAACTTTAGTTTTATCAAATTGACTTTGGAATGTTGGTTTTCTATGGGGTTTTTTTAAGATTTTCTTTTTTCAGAAAATGGTGGTTTTTGCAAACATATACTACTTTATCGTTGTCTTTGTCTTACTCACTATAATCAATAAGTAAACCTTATAATGTAATTTTCATTGAAATTGAACTAGAAACAAGGTTCCTATGATTTATTTGGGGAATTTTAATTGTCATAATCATTATTAATTAATTATTAAATTGAATTTTGAACA